ATTGTCCCCGAAGCGGCAAAAGTATTGTCCGTATCGGCAGAAAAAGTATTGTCCACGAAATTCTTGGAAATGACGTCATTTCTTGGAACTGTCTTGGTGAGCGACCTCCGCGCATGTTATGTTATCCTAATATAAAATCGCAAAATTGGCCATAAATTTTTCTTCGTGGCAGCAAAGGTATTAACCGAGAATTCTTGGAAATGACGTAATTTCTTGGAACTGTTCCGGCGAGCGACCTCCTTCCATATGATGTTCTCCTAATACAAAATCGCAAAATTGGCCACAAATCTTTCTTCGGGGCGGCATAAGTATTGACCGAGAATTCTTAGAAATGTCGACATTTCTTGGAACTGTTCCGGCGAGCGACCCCCTCGCATATTATGTTATCCTGATACAAAATCGCAAGATTGGCCACAAATCTTTCTTCGAGGCGGCAAAAGTATTGAACGAGAATTCTTGGAAATGACGTCATTTCTTGAAACTGTTCCGGCGAGCGACCTCCATCCATATTATGTTCTCCTGATACAAAGTCCTGAAATTGGCCAAAAATTTTGTACCCAAGGAATCGGCTAAAATTGAACCGATTGAAAAACCCAGATTTTTTAGCCTATTCTTTAGAGCTCTCTTTGACGAGTTTTTTTATGTATAAAGCATTTAAAAAAGTCGAGGGATAGACGCGGTATTCATAGAAATTGACGTCATTTCTTGGAATGGATCAGCGAGCGACCTCCTATCGTGTTATGTTCTCTTGATACAAAATCGCATAATTCCTCGATACCTTATCCTTTTACATTTTTCTACTCTCGTAGAGTTTTTAACATGATCTCAAGGTCCAGATTTTTTCAGTCTCCCATTTTTTATCTCTTTCTCTCTCTTTTCTTTTCTTATACTTACCTGTCCTGTACTTACCCTCTCGAGTACTTACCTGTCAGTCCAATGATTTATTCTCTGTCGCGTTGATTCCTTTTTCTAGTTCTGTATATCGCTTTTTAGAAAGGATACAAGGTTTTTTTAATCGAAAGACTCAGATTTTTCACAAGAATACGTCTTTATTTAACAAATAACGCGTCATGCATCGTACAAAGTTAATACGTAGCTCTTACGTATCTCTCAAACTATTACAACTACAATTCGCACATGCATTCTCGGTTTGTCCCGTCTTTCGTTCCATAAAGACTAGGAAAAAATGATCGTCACACACGGTCACCCATATCGATTGCCCCTCTTCCGCTAGACAGATACGTCGCGATGTCGGTTCCGCGCGATGGTACATCGCTCAGAGATGTCAGGAACCAGACAGGTTACGACATCCTCCGGTTTCCACCAATTTGCTGACACTGTCGCGTTCAACTGCGCTCCGCTCGGCTGTGCCCGAGTTATTGCGAAGTAACGCGCGGAACGAGGCTGTAAATAATATGGGAAACCGGGCTGGAGAGGGTTACGTGGTCCTCGGCATCCGGCTGTACCCTGAATACGCTCCGCGGAGCCGAGATACGCGAAATAAAAGTATCAGTCGCGGAGAGAGTGGTAAAACCGACGGTGGGTGGGGGTGTGGGGCACGCGAGAGTGGAAAGAGGGTGATTCCTGTTATACAGAGGATGACCCGAGATGCCATATTTCAAAGTGGAGGCGTCCTCCGAGGGGCCGTGAATACCTTAATAGTCATAAGATGTATCCGCATGCGGCCGCTATACACCGGTTCTACCCCCTCCTAAACGTATTCGAACGTTCCACAGTCATCTCCATCGCGGAACGATACGGCCCTGGACAGCCGTTTCCGGCTGGGATATGACGAGGACCTCGAGCAACCTTCGTCTCCGCTGGCCGTATCCCCGGTTATGCCGGGGAAAATTGCGGGAAACGCGGGAAATACTCGAAATTGGTGCAGCCAGAGTACCGCCCCATGCAACGGGGAATTGCACTCGACCTGGTACTTGCAGGAATTGTCTGGTTTGTCGGGCAATCTTCTCGATGTTCGATGCAGATCGCTCGGGACGGGTGCCTGGAACGGCGAGGAGGTGGCGAAATTGAGAGAGAAGCTAACGCGAGCGTGTTAAGCTCTGAACTGCTAAAATAAAGATTTCCCCTGTTGCACTGTTCTTGTTCAGATAAAGATCCAAATTGTTCTCGAGTCGATCTCTGGATTAGAGAAAATGGCGGGGGTAGTTTCAAACGGAATATCGATTTCATCGATCGATACGAATAGAAAATTCAATGACGAGTAATTCGCTGTTATTTGTACGGGAAATAGAACAGGAACTTTAGTGGTGAAAAAATAAAACGAAATTCGCGGTCTGGCGCAACAAATTCGCGGAATGAACGACACGGAAGCGGTATAATATTTACGGGGAACGTCGTCGAAAAAGGCATCGTTAACGTCACGAATCGGGGAGACCGGGCCGAGTACAGCGCAGGAAGATTCCCGGCCTACCTGTCCGGAGGAAATGAACAGGCTTCATAAATCTGGCCAACGATACGGTGCTCCCGGTAATCACGTCATTACGCGAACAACCGAACGAATGCGCTCACGGACAGCATCTCGCGCTATTTAATAATGAGCGGCTCTCTATTACTCAATGGCTATTAGAGAGGGGATGAAACGCCGCCAGATAACTATAGAGCGAAAGAGACGGAGGGAGAGAAGGAGAGAGAGAGAGAGAGAGAGAGAGAGAGAGAGAGAGAGAGAGAGGGGGTTGGCTTTCGGTTCCACTCCGTTCACGGTGCAATCGGTTAATCACCGTTCTCTCATCCCCATTTCTGAGACACGATTTAAGCGGGCGGCGTGTTCCAGCCACCCCCGCGAGTCCCCATATCAATTAATCTTACCCAGAATGCAATAACTGTCCAATCTGCCCCCGTGGCTGCGTCATGGTGTCGCGCAGTCAGTGCTGTAACGCTCTCCTTTCTCCTGAACCAACCCCCGTTCAACCCCCTCGTCGTCCGCGTTTCCCTCCTTTCTCGCTCGTTTTTCCTTCTCCTTCTCGTCCGCGACGACCAACGTGTCTCCTCGGGTCATTGTCTGCGAAACACTCGCGAGAAGGTCCTCGCGAGAAGGACCAAGCGAAGCGATCCTCCGGAAAATCTCACGTCCGACCGTCGCGTCGTTTTCCTCTCGTGCGTTTTCCGGCCTGTGAAATAACGAGAGGTGTACCGAGAATCAGGGGTGAGAAAGGACGAGGGAGCGAAAGGAAGGGAAAAAGGTAGGGTCGAGGAAGCTCGACGAACGAAACTCGTCGGGAAACATATTGGGCCGTTAAGGGGTTCGCCGTTAAGGGGTAGCCTGCTTAATTGGCACGACCGTTTAACCCTGAATTACACCGGGTGGCTCGCGCAGCCCGGAACGAGCGTGATCCGGAGCAACCAGATTCCCTGGTCAATGATTAATCGGGGTCGATGTTCGATCGTTGTCCCTCGTTGCCTCGTTATCGACTGGGTAAATACGTTCGATGTATCCGTGGTCGCGCGATACTCGCGAGGGGGTGGACTTTCGATAAGATTTCGGTGATCGAAATTCTTCGCGCTAGTCGAAGCGAATACGGGAAGACTTTGTCGGTGGGATAAATCGAGAAAATGAGAAATATTCGAGGGGTTTGAAATAAATCTCCTTTTTATTCGAGTAACGGTTGATATAAACCTCGTGGAGGCGCGCGCGAATCGGCCATGGAGACGCGCGAATATGGCGATTCGGCGAGAAAGAAAGGGATTGATCGTGTCACTGAGAGAGAATTACAAATGGTAACAGCATTTATTGTTAATAATAATAATATTAATAATAATAATGGCAATAATATTAATAGCGAGTTCTCTAATTACAATAATTACATAATGATAGGAATGGTACAACAATAAAAACTTCAATAGCGTGAAGAGAGAAAGAATACAATTATCTGTTTGGCGAGACCCGTGCGGGGGATGTCGCATCCCCGATATTTCGATCAGGGTAAATCTGTTCCAAACGCCATTTTGCTTCGTCTCTATTTATAATATTTATAGCCTCGGTCTCGTTTGTGCTTTTTATTTATTTATACTCGTATTTATATATGTATATATTTATACGCTTAGGCTAGGCGAGATACAATCTATGTGCTATTTACAAGTATTTTTTGGTCACAGTTGCAACTTTGGAGTGGGTGATGCCCTTTCTTGAACGATAGGTGCTGGAGATATGCAAAATACAGTACGCTGCTCGTACTTTTCTTACGCGACGTCTATCGTGGACGATCAAACGAGTTGGATGAAAGTCTCCTGTCGCTTGCGCGATATCGATCGAATAAAATAAATTTCTCGCCTTCATACGCGTACGTTGAATGGAAAAATGCTCGAAACGGAATCGATTGGGATGCGCGATTGAATTAAGCTCGTTCGATCGTCCCAATGAACGTCGCGTAAACGTCTACGTAATAAGAGAAGTAGAGTGGAACGATTATCGATACTTAACGAACGATTCAACACGGAGAGTAGCGACGCTGGAAACAAAGGAATTTCTCTCTGGACTTTCCCAAACACCGTTCGCCCTTCGTCTTCTTAATAGAATCCACTAAAAATGCCTAACGATTCCACGAAAAATCGCGAAAACAATCATCGACGAATCGAGTAGCGTGTTTCGCCCAAGAAAAAGGATCGTCGAGGATCTAATCCCGTCCTATAATAGTACTTTCTTGCTCGAGCCGCGGTATGGAATGTACAGCTTTGGTAACAATTATGCGCGTATATCACTTTGCACACACTCGTCCGCTTCCAACCCCGGTCTGGAATAACATATCGGAATGTACGGTTGCATTCCAGTCGACGAACTCTGACGAGGTCCCATACGAGATCTCGCATTGCACCGGAAAAGACGTACGCGTCGACCGTCGAATTGTTAAATAATAAATACAAGAGTTTCTTAAATGTACAAGTCAATGTACACTGCCTAGTGTAAAAAGTTCGACGAAGCTTCGACGACGAAGAGAACGCGATCTCTCTCGCCGAAGATTCCCCCGATTGCACCATTTGGAAAAAATTCGATTAACATTCTCAACCTGTTCCTCTTGGAGGATAAAAAGTTTACAGTCCGTTTGATTATCGTCGGAGAATTATTCACTGCATCATCGGCGGATTGCCGTTAGGCAAAGAGTTTTGGCCAGGCATCGAGCCGATCGCCGGTCGTTGAGACGTGTTGAGGTCGGCGTGCTGGGTCTCTCGATGCCTTCTCAGGTCGACCTTCCGCTGGAAAGCTCGGCCGCAAAGCTCGCAGGCGAACGGCTTGAAGCCCGTGTGCTTCCTCGAATGCGTGATCAGGTTACTGCTTTGAGAAAACGCCTTGCCGCATACTTGGCACTTGTGCGGCTTCTCACCTGCAACAAAGATGTCGAAATATTCGTCAGCGACGCTTCGTCCGAACAAAAAGAATACGTTAATTCCTAAATGTATCATTAAACGATCGAACATCAAAATTTCTGACAACCTTCGCGATAGTACCACCCCCTTACCTTCGCTCGTGTCTCCACGATACCCGGTAAGAATCGACAAAAGTTCCACATACCACCCCGATATCTCGGTACTTATGTCAATCAAAGGTTCTCCGACATTGTCATAAACGAGCCACGGTGAAGCACCCAAAACACGTCGAACCACCCGCTCCCTATACGGTGCAAGTCGATCGAAATCTGTCGAACGACAGTGGAGTCATTCACGCGCCTCGGTCTCGACATTCTGGCGGTCAGGAGCGTTAATTTGGAAGCAGGCTGACCCTTGGAGCGAGCGTCTTGGCGCTGGTACGAGTACGAGTAGTACAAGCCGGGACGAAGGCCGACAGATACTCCTGGAGAAATGTGGAGGTGTTCCAGGGGGGTGGTATCACGGATGCGGGGCACGCCCGGTCAAGATTTCCTCCCAAGCGAGAATCTCAGCCTCCCCGGCGGCGAGGCAGAGGGAAGAGATCGCGGCAGACAGGGTGCGGGGGTGGAGGACGCAGCCGGGTCTGGGTTAGGCGAAAGGAGTGGGAGAACGTGCACAGGGGTGGATGAAACGGGTAGGGTAGCCGTTCGTTTCTCTCGTGGTGGCCGCGAGTTCTGATTGGCGGCCGGGGGCGGCTCCAACCCCCGTGTTGCCATGACTACCGGGGATAACCCGGCGGTAGATCGCGAAAGAACGAGAAAGAGAGATGAAACGGGGGTTTGGGTGGCAGAGAACGAGAAAGAGCCGGTCCAATGGAGAAAGAGGCAGGAGAGTGACAGAAGGAGCAGCAGGGATGGTTTCGGGGGCGAGAGAACGACGAAGACAGAGGGTAAATACGGGCGGGGTGGAAGAAGAGGCTGGAGGATGCCAGCGATGCGAACTATCCTGGCCGAGGGCAGCACAGGCCCGTTAATGGAGTCCCCTATCCGCTCATACGTCCACTCCTCCGCGTTTGTCCGATAGATACAGGAAGCACACACGCAAGCGTGCACACACAGCCTCGAGAGATCTCCGTGAGGCGGTGGGTGGATCCATAAACAACTCGTTAGCCGAGCCTTCAATCTCGCCCCGCCGATACGACCGGGCCGTCGATCACCTTTGCGATTATACCCGATCGTTATCTTGATTTCTTTTCGGATAAACTACGTGGCGTTTTGATTTTCTCCTGTATCGCGCAGATACCAGCTGCTATCGAATTTCGGCGACCAAACGAAATATCAGAGGTTGAAGAGATTTGCTGCAGGGATTAACGAGGTAGATTAACCAAGATGGAGGAACGATACGTCAAGGCTCGTTCGATTTTTCTGCGTCTCGAGAAGATGATAAAATAAGCGAAGATTCGGTAGACAAAGCGCGAGGAAAGATTAAAGTCTAGCTATAAAATTATCGGAGAAAAATTGTCCTAATGATTACTGAAAGATCATAGAGGAGAAGATTAAGTATCGAGTACACGGGAAATTTATTTAACGAGGGAAACGTCGTCGAATAATGGGTTTTTGGGACGGAGAAGACCGCAACGATTCGGATACACTTAAAATCGGGATTCAAGGGAGGATTCAGGGTTAAGGATGAGTCGTCAAGGGCGTGCTGCTGGAATTCGTCGGGGCTGCCGCTCGATGAAATTCCACGGAGTTCTCCGTGCCCGGATGAAACGGCAGAATGAATAGAATTTTCACGGCGTTAAGAGAGAAGCTGGAAAACCGGAGAGAAATGAGAGCGGAGAACGAAGTCTAGGAGTACCGTTTGGAATTTACGCGGCCGTAAAATCAAAAACTTTCCGTACCGAGGTTGCCTGCTCGATATAGATCGGTTCCTTTCGGAAAATCTCACCCGATGCCGATACCTCCGACATAAAGAAACGGAAAAAAAGAACAACTTAACGATTTATTTTTCCAAAAATTCTTCCACGAAATTTCAATCTCCCGAATATCCGCTCGAACGAATTTCAGTTCTCCGTGAAGGAGGACATCGAACGGAAGAATTTCCGTACCACGAAGGAGAAAGAGCTACGGGTCAAAAGAAAGAAGACGAAGCCTGCGAGGAGGGACGTCTCCCGGAATTTACGTGCTCGTAAAAATCAAGAACCGTCGGAGCTTTTCCACCGAGGTTGCCCTTTTCGTCTTCATCTCTCGGAGAAACCCAGCCACCGTGGCTCCGGAGCTTCGTCTACGAGGTGAATGCGCATCAGTGCACTCCACGTTATACCCTGGCCACCGTAACGGGAATACGTAGACGAATACGTACACGTGGTTTGTCTTCGCAGAATCCGTTATGCGAGTGTCGAATACACGGGAACACTATGCTACGCTAAACGAGAAACAGGTGCACGAACATTCCTTTATGCAACTGCACGGTTTCGAAGAGAAGAAGACGGAAAGAGAGGAGGTCTGGTGAAAGATTTAACTGCCTGGCAGTACAGATTCCTCGTGCTCTCATTTTTTCAAACGAAGGATAAAGAAATGAGTCGAACGAAGAAACAGATGCAAGAAAGTCGAAGCTGAGAACCCCTGAGGTTTAAGACGCCATTACACCCCTGGGCTGTCGGCCGACGCCCCTAAAACTATATTAAACTCCCGGAAATCTTGCGAGGGTCCTCTCTCCTTCGCTAATTCCCTCCCTTCTTCGCGTTCCTATTGCCTGCCCCCAGCCGACAGTGCCCACTAGAAACATCATCCCCCGCTATCCTTCAACCCTCCGTTCGCCCGGAGGAACTCTCGAGAGCGGAAAACCAAGACGGTAGTTTGATCGCTTCCGCCATCGGGACGACCAACTTTTCGAATCGTCTCGTTGCTCGATGGTTTTGTTTTCGCGGTGCGTCCATGAAACAGGGATATTTCTTCCTTTCCCTTCGTGGACGTATAGGAGAGGAAAGTTTTCGACGATGCGATCGAGATAATTCTTAGAATTGCTTCCCCGTGACTAACCACGATGGAGAACGCGAAGGACATTAAGCTGAATCGTTACACTCTACGATTTCCAGATGTCAATTATATTGCTTCTTTTTATAAATAAATTAAAGATATACCGGTAAAATATTTTTCATTTTAGAAGAATATTCCCGTGAACCAAGTTTGTAATAGAATTATACGAATTTTCCAACGATTATCCTGAAACTTAAATCGAGAAGAGACTGCGAGTGGCGAGGAGGAGTGGCCAGAAAAGAGAGACGAAGATGAACCGGACTCTGGCTGAGGCATTGATTTCCTCTAGTCTTCATCGACCACGTTCCGACCCTCTGGGGGCGTCCCTACCCTCTAACTGAAATCCTCGCGAGAGGCGAGCAGAAAGAAAATCGAAGGAAAGTACCATATCTCATATTTCATATCGGGGGGGCAGCATGGATTTTCTTGCGCGTCTGCAAAGCTTCGCGTAAGCGTTACCCGGCGACGTCGGGCGAATCTTTCCCAGCGAGCTCTGTTTCTGTCACATGAAACAGGGAAAGGAATCCAGGTGCTTTCAATCGGAATCCCGGGTTGTGTTTTGCTCCGATCGAACAATGGGATTTCTCGCAGCCGTCCCTGAGATCATCCATAGCATACGTCATATATAATTCGTCCAATAAATCTTAATATCCTAACATATCTATTACATGTTTATTATAAAGGCAAATTATTGTAGTCTACGACTCAAATTCTCCGAGCCAGATTTTAAAACAATTATTTCCAAAACGGTCAATTATATTTCATAACGACTAACTAAAATTTCCTGGAACCAACCTGTTTCTTCGCATAACTAATTTGAATTAAAACTGACCGATCCACAATAATTAGTAGAATTATCTGCAAATTATCGAAAGGTGTATATCTACCTCACATAAACTACCCCTTACTACCCCGAATCGTTAAAACCGTCGAATCAACGATTAGCTCTCGCTTGCGTCAGCTACTCAAGGAAACCACCCTCGCCATTCGAAGAACTTAGCTTTATGCATCCAACCGGAGTTCTGTCAACGACTGTTACCAGTCCCATGGGTCAGGCGGGTCCAACAACTCGGTTGTATTTACTATTTTACGCGTACACGAGTACTAGGATGGCAGCGGATGAAGTGGCCGGCTAAAACGCCAACACGATACGATGCGTTGTCGACGCGACTACAACGACGAACACGGTGGGCTTATGTGTGTCGCGTTTTACATGCCGCCACGTATGCCGTGGCTACATCGTTTCCACGGCCGATACGGATACAGGGTGGGCCGGTGGGTGGGCGGGTGCAGGGCCGCCAATGACAAGAGCACAGCCCTGGGAATTTGCGGCGGTCGGGCTGCAGCTGGAAATGTTTTGCACGGTACTGATATTCCGGCCTGACGACGAAATGCCTGGTAAACACGAAAAAATCGTCGCCGGTTTTCGGGGATGAAAAATATCGTTGATTCGGGGGCATCGATGCTGCCGTGAACGTTTTAATTCGCGAGGAGGGGAGATGAAAACCGTTGCAGTCATTTCTCTGGCGAAACAGAGCTGATTAACAACCCCTCCGTTGACGCTAATTAAACGACACTACGATCTTCTTTGGAAGATACTCGGGGTTCAAGTGATGTTTGATTTGATTCCAGGTTCGTTTCGTAGGGGATGTAAAAGAGACGGAGGAACGATGTTAATTGGAATGTTAGAATAAGCGTGGAAACAAATTTTCACCCGTCACAGTGCACATTTAGGATGCGCTTCTGATTGTCAGTACTTGGTCGCGATAATACTAGAAGGGGGAAAGTTGGTTGGAGGCGAAGCAAGGAAGAAACACGATACCAGAGCTAAGTCTGTTAGCTCCTTAGTGCTTTCGGTATACCGCAGGGATCCTCGGTAATAATCCTCTCTCCCGGACGATCACGGCGGATGTATGGCTATTAAATTATTACAGCGTCGATCAACATTAGGAATCGTGACAAATCCGATCTGCGCGCGAAGGCCCTTCGCCGGCCCCGCTTTCCGTGTGCGCGCACCTTAATTGACAATTGTGACTCAGACGACTTTCTCTTATCCGCCCATTGAGATTGCCAGGAGAACCGCTAATAACCTGTCCCATATCGACGAGAATTATGTACTCCGACTGCTCCAAAGAAATCAAATAGCTCGCGGCAGATCAAATAGATACCCAAATTCCGATTGAAATACCCGAAGAAAAAAGATGACGTCGAATGAACATCCGAGTTTAAGGAATTCGAGGGTTGAAAGGATTCGTGCAGGAATCGAAGCTGATGAAAGAACTTCGCCGATCGTTTCTTTACCTGGCGCTAAACGGTCTCAAGGGTTGGTAAGACCGGTACATATGAATTGCGTCGATGCAACGCTCGCATTCTGGGCGCAGTTAATTTCAAGCCCCGAGGCTAGGGATGGTGGGTTCGAGCTGCCGGTTACGCGGATAGGTGGAGAAGCGAAAAAGGAGGATGCAGAGGGATGAGTGGCGAGATATGGCGGGCCAGGTGGAAGGGGCTGACGTGCTTCTGGCATGTCGATATCCCTGGAAATTTAATCATGCCGCTTCACTATGAACACTATGCGCCACCCGCCGCTATATGGATGATGCCTTGGATCCGTGGAACGTTATACCGGCGAATTTGCATGTTTAATGCGGTATCGGTTGCTTATGCTGCCTCGCCGACGTGACATTAAATATAACACCGCGTGGTCTAACGAACGCGGAGGCTCTATCTATTTACACCCTTCTGGGGGTGGCGCGCTTCTACGTCTGTGAACGAGGAGCCATCTTTGCGAACAGATCTTTCGTCGAGTACGTTTATCGCAATTTCCAGTGCACAGTGCACATATGTCGATATCTCGTTTTCGAGCACGGAGAAAATCGGCGAAGGAACGGGTTTCAAGCAACAGGGAATTGCGAACCTTTTCGAGCCAGATCTGATTAAGAAAAATGCAACGATCACCGAGAACGCGACTCGTGTCGCACGTGAACTATTATTTCGCCAATGGAGGGAATACGTCGGCGTCGCTAACGAGCCGTAAAGACGAAAACGGGGCGAAAGATGGGAAGGTGGAGCGAAAGGCGTGGGGCCAGGGCCGGCCTCGGAGCATGTCGCGAAGTTTAAACAGCTTAGAGGGATGTTGCGGCGCCCCCGATGCTTGGGGCGCCAAGTCAGCCGGAAACCTCTAATAGCCCTGTCTCGTCTACATAGGAAGGAGAGGGATGAACCGGGGTACAGACGGAGATAGAGTCCGCAGGCGTACGGTGAACGCGGCCACAAAGGTGGCTGTATAGGTTGCACGCTTGTATCTCCTCGGGTATACGATAACCGCACCCTCGAGGTGAGTTTGAGGGAGACGTTCGGCCAGGTATCCCTACATTAGAGCCACCGCTAAATTCATAATACGCCGGCGAAACGCGTCCGTATCTCTTTCATGTTTATAGAGTTGTCCCGTTTAGTTACAGACCCGTCCCTCGAACCGCAAACTCGGAAACTCGCGTGCATTAGAGAATTCGTCCTTTATCTGCATCGATACCGCAAAGAAGTATCTTCCTTAAATTCTTTCGCGGCGATATTTCTCAGACAAAAGCAAAGTTTCAGCGAGCTTTAACTTTCGGGAAATTTTGAAAAATTGATGCGACAGATTGAGCGTACAGGGAATGTTAATGCTCACTGTCTATCCGATGAAACGTCGTTCCCTTTTATCTGCGACGTGTTGCGTGAAACATCGAGAAACGGATCGATCGAATTCCTCCGGTTGATCGAAATAAAACTACGGAACGTAGTACGAACGTCCAGGAAAATCGCGAACGAGCAAATCGATGACGATTTACGACGAGCGTGATTGAACCTCTAAAGATGAGGGAGCCATCTCTTTGCAACTGAAGTGCTCAGCATCTTCGCAAGCATAAACATCGAACCTATATAGGCTCGTCTACGTGATGAGATCGCGAAGTGTACAGACGGTATGGTAACCCTCGCCGATCTTCATCCCCATCGACTTCGCACCGTTGGTGGACAGGTTGTGTTTATTGTGAAAACACCGAGGCCACTGTTGCGAGTTCGATCGCACGGGCAAGCATGTGTGTTTAAGCGCGCATGCACCCTGCAACTTGATTGTCCCGATGGCAGAAAGACGTGGGTTTTGATCGATAACATTTCCCTGTAATCACGAGCCCTACCCGCGTCCTTTCCATCCATGAAACTAATTCTACGATCCATCGAATCCTCGCAGTAGAACCGGAAAAACCTCGCGTCAAATTGATTAAATCCTCCTGAACCTACCGATGGAATTCGCTGTTTGCTATATAGACACGACGCGAGATACTCGACAAATACAAATAGGGGATGAAGAATTTGTTACGGGTGAAAGAAGCGGAACGAGCAAGATCGCGTTACAAAGAAGGAATATCAAATTGTAGAATCGAGCTGTTCCTACCGTCGTCACTCGCGAAAGAAAGTTATCAGCGAGGCTCTCAGTTTTCCCAAATCATCACGTCGTCTGCGCCACTCGAGGGCGCGAACTTCAAAGAGCAATATTTTCCCGGACTCGGACGCGGAGGATCATCAGAAATAGATAAGTTCAATGTTTTCTCATCGGAAGCGGTCGTGTGTGGCCACTTGTCGGTCTGTCACCGTTCATCCGGACCGTCAACCGGCTCGTCAACCCCTTTTGCGGCCACCCCGGGGCCGTGCACTTGACTGGTAGGCCAGAACGCAGCCCAAAAGGCGCAGCTAACAGCGAAGGTAACGCGAAGTAACGCGCTCGACCCCTCGGTAGCTATTCCGGCTGCTGGCTCGCGCACGAACAATATTTGCAGAGCTCTTATTCCCGCACTTCCCAGCCCCGTAAGCGCCGCTTCAACCCCCTGGCCCCCTCGTCTCTCTGTACGCGCTCCACCAAGCCCCCGTTTCTCTCGCCACCCCTCGTGTGCACCAGCAACCACCTACCTACCTACCTACCTAATAATGATTTTACGTTACGCCATGCCGGTCCCCTGGGAATCCGACGGTGCCGCACCCTTATTGCACATGGCCCGTGCTCACGACGAAGGGAATATAGTCGCAGAAGAGGGGACAAGGGGCTACTGGAAAGAGAGGACTGATTATCATTAGCAGGAGAGTCCCAGAACACCCTCGGTTTACTGCTTGACGCACGTACGCACGCCACCTCGAGGTCATGCCAGTGAGGGATTTCGTTTTACGGATTGAAGGCGGGGGTGGAATACGCGGGGCGACGGGGACGTACCGTCGACGTTCCAGGATTTTAATTGAACTAGTTAGGAGTGGAGTCGTTGGCCGGGTACAGTTTAAGCAGACTTTTGGCTCGAATACGGAGACTACTTTCTGAAAAGTCGCGTATTAATTTTATACCTAGTGGTCTGCCATTGAAGATATGGCGATGAAACAATTGCATGGAAAGGGGAAGGCAAACGACAGAGAAAATTGCCAACGGTGTCGGACACCAGCTCTTTCGGCCTCTCTGAATTTTTCATCCCCCTGAATAATGAATTAAATGTTCCGTGGCGACCCTCGAGGAGGTTGTGCGTGAAGGTGAACAGCGTGGGCGCGGATAGACAATGGACAGAGGTCCCATAGGTTGTTAGAAACCTACAGGAAGTGACCATCGTTTTGTATCCTCTTTCGTCGAGGCCTTCTTCGCTTGTTTCGCCGAAACGAGGGTGAATGAGAGGGAGGTGAACGACAGTTAGAGCGACAAGGAGGTGGAGAAGGAGGAGCATGGGGGAGGACAAGGTGATAATTTGATAAGACATTGGGAGGGTTGCCATGGAGACGATACAAAACCCAGACCCCGACTGGAACACTCCTTCGGCCCGTTCCTCTAGCTCGCTTCTACCCTCGGAAGAACCTACTGCTCCTTCAGGAGCATCGCTCCATCAGTCGTGAGACACCTAAGTGCCAAGTGTCCCAACGCCATCGCCCACTCACCTACGGCCACCTAAGGGATGCTCCCTTGCACAGACTGGTCTTCCACTTTCGATAGGAATACGAGCTGTCGAAGTCAAAGACGGAAAAGGAGAAAGAGACAAGGTTTCCCGATAAGAAAGTTTGACATGTAAAAATTCTTCGTTGATCCGGAATCACTACGTCCAGTCAAGAACTAGAAATTTCGATTAAACGTGCAATTTCTTAAATTCCTCAAGTGGAATTCAATTTGAATAAAGAGACAAAAGTAGAAGCCCTCGTGCATGATGGTCGTTTCTAGAGAACGGAAGGACCTGTCCACGTTTCCCACGAACAATTTTCATCATAGAAAAATTCCATTCGAAGATTGGGGGTCTAGTGTGTCAGGCCAGATCGTGAGAGCAAAAAGGAGGATAGAATGATGGGCACCCCGAAAGACATTACGATTATTACCGAGTGAAACTCGCAATGAGGGGCTCGCCACCCCTAAAATGCACTGGCCACATGTGCCTGAATCCGACTGGATCCTCTTGCTTACGACAAGACTGCGTCCAGACGGTTAACTGCATTATTTATCGTACGAAGTTGCTCTGCTAATTGATCCCGGGCATCCCCGGTGCTATCAACCGAAACGAGGAATTCCTCGAGCGCGATTGTAGATATTAAAAGCGAACGAGTATGATTTCGCGTTGTTTCGGTCCCGAATGTTCCCGTAAGTTCAATAGTCATCGTCTCGAATACAATTTTCACGTTAAACAAAGAAATGAAATATCTTCGAGATATTTTTCGTAAATTACTACTGATTCGATGCCCACTAATTGAAGTAATACAAAAGAAAATCACTCACCGGTGTGTATATAGGTGTGCTTCTTCATGTCGCTCTTCTGATGGAATCTCTTCCCGCAGAACTGACAGGGGTACGGTCTCGTGTCCGAGTGGATTAAAAGATGAGTACTTAAAGTGCTGGAACGTTTAAATGCTTTGCCGCACTGCTTGCACTCGAACACCTTCTCCGCGGAATGCACGGCTCTGTGTTGCGTAAGGCTGATTTCATGGCCGAACGTTTTATTGCACAGCTCGCAGGCGAACGGTCTCTTCCCATTGTGAGATCTCCTTGCATGTACCTATAAAAACCGCATTCTTCGTGAGGAACTTCTTAAAAACACGTTACCCGAAACGACGGGGACTTCTTAACGTTTAAAAACCACACTGCGCATATGGATCATGCATATGAAGCATAACCGTGGCCCGTTTGCGTTAATCGAAGGCATGTTCGCTAAGCACCGGCATCAAGAAATACAGTGTTTACGAGTGAGTGAAACGTAAATCCGAGAGAACGAGCCGACGATTCCGACTGACGAGTATCTTCTCTCGGAAGCAATCATGCAAACCTAATTCTCGAAACCGTCTATCCGTTCGCTGTTCTCTCAAGACTTTATTCGATACATCAACAAATTGCTACCACCCGGAAGCTCCTCTCATCCGATTAAACCCACCTCGAGTCCGTGAGGCGTGCTGAACATCTTGTCGCACTTGACGCAGCTGTAGACGTCGCCGAGCGGATGATGATGGAGCCCGTGCGCGGTGTGAGTGGAATGGAGGCCAGGGTGACCTGGATGAACGCCACGCAGCAATGGGTGCAAGTGCGGAGGTAACAAATGATGGGGAAGCAGTTGAGGGTGCAGGTACGACAGGGGATGGTGAGGATGAGGTGGTAACAGTCCACCCTGAAGATGCAGGGGTGGATAGAGCATCGAGGAGCCTGGAGGTGGTGGATGCGCGCCGATCGACGTCGTGTCCCTATGTGGCGAGGCGTTTTGCAGGTGTGCCGACGGTGGATCCGGCCTGAGAAGAGCGGAAACGCTGAAAGTGTCGCCGGATTTCTTTGGTGGATTCAAGGTGGGCGATATCGCGACGCTGATGGGCGACGGCGTCGTGGACGATCGCGGTGGACTCGACGTGGCGTCGCGATCGTCCTCGTCGCCGACTTCTTCCACGTCTACGTCCACTTCCTCCTCTTCGACGTCCACGTCCACCTCGCCGTCCCGACGATCCGACGGAGGAGAGTCCGGACAGGGTGAATGCGACGGTGAGGGACTCCTCGTTGCCGGGGAACCCACCAGACGACCCACTCCGAAGGACAATCGTTCTGGAATGATAATATTGCCTCGTGTTTTTCGTGCGATAATTCTTTCGTTGTCTGGAGAGTAACTGACGGCTTACAGGGAATTAGACGGACAGCAAAGTCGCGTAGATAGCAGACGAGACAGCAGAATCGAAGATTCGGGTAGATGAACACGGACGAATGAAATTTGAGTCACGTTTCGAGTCCCTTTTCACGCTGAGTCGAAAGTAGAACGGGTAGAGGGTTAACGGGACATCGCGGAGGAAAAGAACGTTCCTTTGACATATCCCTGAACATCGAATTTTATCTGCTCGAACCTCGACACAAAATTGTGAAATCGCTGCAATCAATCGGGGAAAAAAGAGAAACGAAGCGGTGAAGAGCGATCATCGAGTATGTACACCGATACACGTGATCATACTTTAGATAAATTATCGCGTCAGACGAAATACGAGCATTTAAATCACAACAATAGTCGAGTAATGCGTCAACAAACGATCAACGACGCGATAATCAAGTATCGACGATTTCATTGACAAATGAAATCACATACGATCGAGTCATCGTCTCGATGCTTAACTCGCTTCGCGTCTGGTATTTCTAATAATCAGCAACGATCTCGAAGGCAGTGATTTACGACGTCCATCGGTCAGAAAATCGGCAGCGGTTCCTCCGCAACGTGGAAGGGGCTGCGGCCCGCGTTCTCCGCCACCCTTCGAGGGGAACAATATCAATCCGACTCTCGTAGAATGCACGGTGTACACCCAGTATATTATATTTATAATCCGTGCGCGTGACACGCGGTCACGTGCCTGGCTATATGATGCACCGGTGTCAGATAATCGCATTTAAAGCTCTCCACCATCCCCGTTCGAGAAGGGCCGATTATTATCGTGTCTCCTGGTGGCGTTGCAATCGAATCAAAATACGTCACAAGTCTCGGTAGAGTAGCCTAATGTAATGAGAAACGCCTGCGAGTCTATCGAGACGTTTCGTGGAAAAAGAAAAACAAGAAAAAAAAGGAAGCATCGCACGATACTTTTAGGGGATGTTAAAACAGGGAATGATGATCCTTATTGTAGGACACGAGTGAAGAATTCGTGGGCTGAGCACAGGGAAGACGAAAATATATCCGATTATTCTCGATTGTTTCGCTGGTTCGTTGCGTCAGATAAGAGTCAGATAAAATAGATCAAGTATGGATTATCTAATGCTCTGCACCGTCGATAGCAGATATTGCGATATTCGTAAATGTCGGATTGAACTGTTATTAAATTCCCTCGTCGAAATACACAGGCGCAATTAAGCGTTCTCGTTTAATCGAATACAACGTTAATTCGGCCACGAACTAACAGAACCATCACGAGCCAAGAACAGTCTATAAAATCCCTCATAAAACCTAAGTATCTCAACGGGATACGCTGATGGAGAGGAAAAGGGGGAGGAAAGGCAGAAGAGAAGGAAACCGAGAAGAGTCGAAGGCGAGAGTGGCAATAATCGAGAAAGCAAAAGGTAGAACACGAGTCTGGGGCAAAAGCGAAAAGAAAGAGGTAGAGGAAGTCCGGACAGATGTGACTCGGGGCAAGATAGGAAGAACTGCTTACGCAAATGCCACGTCTGGCCCTGCTGGAATGCGGTAAAAACCGACGGTGCAAACCGGCGAGAAAAACCGTCACCATCGTTCCAACCGTCCGGCAGATGGGTTACTTTGGTCCGGGTTCGGCAGTGCTTGCATACGCTTGCACGCTCCTACACGCGTATTTACGCGAATGTACGTACATCTGGAGGCTCATGGAGGATTCGCTTCACGTTTTCAGCAGCAACGTTTCTATTTGAGAGCGGGCCGCGCGCGAGCCTCGAAAAAAATTCCAGAAACCCGTCTCCGGAAATTATTCTTTTACGAGAACGGCTCTGATCGAAATTTTATAACGCACGGGGATCGTCACGGGATAGAAAAATGAGGAAACTGGAGAAGACTACCGCTGGAATTTTAATCCCCTTGTTTCGTTCGAGCAGATGGAACCGGCTAAATATTGACGAAGTTCGTGAGATTTTCCAGGAAATAATTCTCGCGTCGTCCCGTCTTCCGAATACAAATCGTACCTGGAAGATTCGCGCCCAGCAACGGTATCGATCGCGATCGCGATCGCGATAATTTTGCGAATCTTCCTCGACGGAATTCAATCCTTGTCTGGCTTTGAGATGCACTAGTCGCGACCACGATTTGACTCGAAGTTGCAAGACAATTTACAGAGACGCAACAATGGATCCGCAAGTAGCATCAAGAAGGAGGCTCGTGACAAGGGATGACAATGATGGCGATGCCGAAGATGCTTGTGGACGTGGATTAATAAAGGAAGGCCAAGCCGGGGGAACAATTAGATCGAGTTAACGGCCAACTTTAATCTTCTGTCGTCCGTCAGTCGTTTACTGCGTAGCGATCTGCCGCTATTAAAGCCGTTACACACTTCACCGTTTTCAAACCCCTTCCGTCCTGCCTGCCAGCGAATCGAAAGAAACTACGACTTGTGCCGCAAAGGCCGCCATCAATGGGCCCAAGTGACAGGAAGATGTGGGTTTTCAAAAACGGATCTTTCATCCTCGTGTCAGTACCTATTTAAATCTAATCCCTGGCTGCCTTTCAGTAGCGAGATCCTCGGATCTGTTATCGCGTGGAACACGACGGAAAAGGGAATAAAAAGAAAGAAACGAGAAATCGTGAGGGTATCCGGACATCGATTAAAATCTCTGACTGCGAGATGAAAGATGCAACGAAGAATGCCTCAGATTGTACGAAATAAATCATCGAAGCTCGACCGCCATGTTAACGATGCATCATACTCGTCCACGATACGATTTTCAACACGCTGGTCCGATCCCCGAGATCGATCAAAAGTGTCTCGCTTGATCGAAGGAATTCGCGATTAAAGGTAAATTTATCGATAAATGTCTGACTCCGAATGCCTTATACCCCTAATCTGTAATCGAGCACGGTGACGATCGCGAGATATGCATGCAGAAATACGAAGCATCTCTGAAATTTCCTCCGAATCGGTGGAAAAGTTGCCTGGTTCCAAAGAGACCAAGACTCATTGTCAGACGACTCGGAAGATCATCCTGACGATTATCGAGGTGCACGCAACGTAATGAATGGCCACGTGCACCAAGGAGTCGGAAGAGAGGACAAGCTATATGCACGAGCGTTTAACATGACAAGATGTTACTAATTCAGGGTAGGTAGAACTGAGATGCCGACCGACGTACGAGTACAAAGGGGCCGACGGTCCGAATCCCTGTACTGCGCCTCTAATCTGCTCCAATTGGGATGGCAGGAGTTAGAAGGGCCGATGTCCCTCCGCGGTATGACGCGTGCTACCATTTATCCCAATCATCGGACGACCGGTTGTTCTTAACGATCGACAAATAAAAACTACTCGTCATCCGGGCTGAGGAGGAAGCTGAACGGGGCAACAGGCCGCCCATCTACACCTTCTTCGGAGGCGAGTCTTTGACGCATTAAAACACCATTAGACCGACGAATTTTTAATCTCCGGAGCTAGTTGGGTACGCCTACTGTTCCTTCTTTCTTCCACGAGTCATACTCCTGCTCATACTCGGTTCAAGCATGGATCAACCTGCATTTCCGACTAACGAATTTGTCAATTCATCGCCCGTGTTGCGAAATCAGGGAGCTTGGGGAGTCTTATCTCTTATCGCTAACTCCGATGATACGCGCTAATTACCGAAAACTCGATCAGGTAGCGTTCGCGAGTGTTTGCTACCCTCTTAACTGAACGAAGACGAGATATCGCGACCGAGCTGCCGCGTGAAACAATTATATCTCACATAGCACGTACCTGAATGGCTTTTGGGCAAGGGTGGTAGATTCGTGACCTCGGTAGCGCTTCCAAAGGGAGCCCACAGTCTGGGGAACATTAAACGAACGTTGCATCCTCCTGAAAGCAGAAAGAACAGTCGTTGAGATATACCGTAGCCCACATATCGAACAAAGTTCGACTAAACGTTACGTGAAATCCTGGAGGAAATATGGAGGAAGGGGAAGCAGGAAGGAAAGGATAGAGGATATTTCCGAATCGTTCATGCATCGTTATTCGCGTGGCCGTGAGCAGCCGCTAACGGAGAAGCGACGTCTTCAGCGCTGACAAATTTGGTATTCCCTGGTCGTACGAAAGATCAACCCCTCGACAAGAGCGTCTTTATTAGAAAGGAGGGAGACCCTTCTCTATTTATCAACCTTGCTCCAGCCATTATTCGCTCTCTTTCTCCGCGGCTGCATTCCTATCCACGAACGTCCGCCATTCGTTTTCCAGGCCTCTTTGATCGACACCGGTAGCGCGCTGGAATTCGAACTTTTCGCCGAGGACTGCAATCTTGCGCTATCGACGGGATCGAATCAAAGTGCACGACGATCTAAAATTCACAGCGACTCGAAGGTGGATGCGAACTTGTCCGAGGGTAGAGAAAAATTTTGCGAATAACTTGGCAGATAATCCGGCGAACTTGGCCGAGACGCGCGTAATGCCATCCGACAATCAGCCGGCTTATCAAGATCGGATTCTGTTATTGCGTTTCTCGGAACCGGACAGGCTTTCTCGGCTAAGGAACGGCTGAAATCGATCGCCGACATTGTACGTATCAAGAGCTTTCGAGGAAAAAATAGAGGGAAAGAAAGAGGAGAAAAAACAGCGAGAAAGAAGGAATGAAATCCGTAATCCGGGCAATATAGTAACGGTCGGGATAATCTGAGATAGCGGCCAGAGATTAGCGCGCCACGCCGCAAAGCTATCTCATTCTCGCAGGATTATCAGAAATAAATCATATTTTCCTATAAAGCGAGCACACCACGCGGCCGAGATAAGATGACCGCGCGGTTAGGTGTACAACCAACATCGATACTGCGTGTGTACACACGGTGCAGGTAATGCGTGTTTGTTGCCCGTGAGCATCGACGATATCGGCGTTTGTTCGTGCGACGCTTATCCTGCGTGTTGCCTCTTTCGCGCTATCGTTCGCTCGTAAATCTATAAACGGTAAATCCTATAGCGTGATTTTCGAAGGAAAATCCTGGGACGATTTGCGGGGGCCACCTGCGTGGAAACTCAGGGCGAGCCTAGGGGCACGGTATGGATTTTTGTTTGAACAAGGTGCAATCGATAGTTTGAGGACTCTCGGATGTACCGTCTCCAAAGAAACGATTTGCTTAGACAACTAGCTGACAAATCTTGGAGGCCAACTCTACGCTTCGAGACCAGGTTCTTCTTCGATTGTCGAATCCTGGGGTACGATATGATGCCAGATAAGTACTCGCGAAGCGACCACAGCCAGTTTTAATTACCCGCGACAACCCGATGAATCGAAGTGTCTCAACCTTCGTCACCGCGAACCACCCCTTCGAAGCCTATGCTCGAAACGAGACACCGAGCGCGCTACCCCTGAGAAGAGGAAACCCTCTCCTGCCCATCACCTGGCAATTATCGCATAAACCGTTTAAGCTGATTCCTACACGCTACCGGCTTGATATTATTGCGTTAGCTGTTAGCCCGATTAGCAGTATTAGTATAGGTAGTCGTCTAATGCCTGTTCATCCCCTCTCACCTGTTGAACGGCCGTTCTTGCGTGCCCTTTACGCACCTGCACGCACTCACGCACGCACCCACACAGATTACCAGCTGTTCGTACACACCGGAGATTCGACTGCGCGCGTGTAGATGCATTTCGCCACGCAGAACCAATGGAGACTCGAGGCCAGTTCGGTGCACGCACGGCCGCCCGATGCGTACACGCACACGCGCGGGGTGTCAGCTCAGGTGTCGGCGCGAATTCAAGGGCGTAAACGGCGCGGTGCAGGGATAATAGGCAGGTAATAGATAGCATGATGACAGGCGACAACGGGATGAATGTCAGGGGTGAGACGCGAATCCGCGAGAGGAATGCAGAAACGATCGAAAAGGGGGGTTCGATGCGGTCGAGGTAAATGTAATTTCGCCACCCGTTCTGCGTCCGATTTCGCGACACCGCGTTGCAATCTCTATCCTGTTTTCTCCTTTTTCGTTTTTTAAATTTTTGTTTACCCATATACGCGGTGTCTGGATGTAGATGTCAGCTCGAATGTAATTTACAGACATCGAATTTCTCTGTTTGATGTTAATGGACGGACGCGAGCTAAACTCGTGTTTGAAATCAATGGTAATTGCACGCTTTGTGACCGGTCATAGGGGATGACAGATAATGGGAGTATCGAAGCTCATGTGTCATTAGCTACCGTGTGTTATTCGATTAGAAACAGAAATTCCAATTTGACGGCGTTGAGCAGTGACGTAACTGCGATTTGAAACCGCACGGTAATTCTAATTCGGTTTGATGTTCGTGCAAATGCAGCTACGGTGACTACTACTATTGTACAAATTAACTTATCGCCTTATAATACTTGCTTAATCGATACCACCGTCGATTTTACAAGTCAATAGTTAAATGCACGAGCTACGTGCATTTTAGGGTTAATCTAAACGTTTAGATCTTAGGGTTAGATCGGTGAATCTGGACAAGCAAGGACTCACCTTCGGTGTCCACGGGAACCTGAGGATTCTCCTGAAGATTCTCGTTGTTATTCGCTTCCGGTGACAACGCTTGCTGATGCACCAGCGAGGATGCCGATTGTTTCGGCTTGACGACGCGAAAAGCTGACGCCTCCGCGACACCCCTGCGTGAAAAGTCCAGGGGACCCACCCCTACAGGCGAGTGTTGCTGCTGCACTTCCATCATCGTGCTTGGACAGTTCGATCACTTTTGCTTACAACAATCCTCCCTTCACTGTACACGACATTCGCTCCTCGTTCAAGGAGCGCGTTGCACCACCACGGTGTCAACGAACCATACACCCTTATTTTTCTTTTTCTTCCGTTAGAGCAACGAACAACAATACACGCTACTTGATACCTAGCTCGAGCAAATCCTCTCACCGACACTGTTCCTCTTCAAAGATCTTCCCCGAAAATCATCCCATTCCACGAAGCTCGAGATCTACCATGGCAACATTTGGAAAAACTCGCTCGAGTCACCGCAGAATCTTCGGTCCAGTGGTCGGTGGTTCGTAACTGACGATCAGTCGATGTCGAAGACGTTGCCTGGTCGAGGATGTTGGTCGGATAACGATACACGTATCGAATGGAACGAGCTTCCGGCTGTCGAGGACACTGATTTCCGTGCGGCCCATCGGCCGGACAGGTCAGGAACGACGAGCACCAGCACCCGGGGATGTGAGAGACGTTATAGCGGGTGCCTCGACGCCGACTGCTGTTAACGGGTCTGATAGTGGAGGAACTCCCATGCGATGACGGACGAAAGTCGCGAGTTAGACTGAGAGAAAGAGAGGGGAGAGAACGCACACGAGCCTGATCATCCACTGCGGAGAGAACAAGAGTGACGGGGAGAGACGGAGAGAGACTTCGAGCAGGAACACCCACACAGATGTTGGATGCATGCCGGGATTTTCGATGGAGACTCCGCCTCCGAGGCACGCCTTCTGCGTCCCTACTCCACCCCCACGAAACCACTCACCATGGCCCTGATCACGCACACAGACGCACGCTTTGGATACCACGAGGCGTACACAGACGAACCCGACGATTCCCCAGAGCTGATGCCACCGCACGCTACCAACCACTAACACACGTTATTTTCCGCCGGGTGTGTGGGTGCGTAAGCACCACCGGTGGATATGTTTATTCGTTTTCCAGGTGATCGTGTGGGTGATGCTGTTGCGTGTACCGCCACGTATGTAGACCGATGTGTGCGGTGTAAGTGTACAGAGGCAGCGGCGAATGGACACGAGACAAGGTGTGCAACGCTCTCTCACCTCCGGTTGCAGCATTATGTGGAACCACTCGGCCACCCTGATTCTACTCTTGACTCCACTGATTGATATTTGTGCGCGCTGTTCCTGCACACCCGGAAGTAAATGCACCGTGTAGACGGTCCGTTTCCTCTACGCTTCCTGCATGCCCTGCGTACACGTATTTACCGAATTTTCCCGGGGATAGAGCTGCGCCAGGTAAAAGACCACCGACAGTCGGAGGAAATTTGCCAGCACCGATGTCTCCGGCAGATTTATATTTCCGATACTGGACATCCCGCGACCGTCGTATTCTTTCGACTGTATCATTATCTGGTCAGAAAACGATATGAAACTTTAATGCGTCTATGATTTAGCTGGATTTTCTTCGTCGATAAGCGATGCACGATAGATTTAGTATTTTATTTTCGAGTTTATACGCGCATAGAGTATTATCAGTGCTTAAGTGCATCGAAGTACGAGCAGAGGACAAAGTGTACGAAACCACGTCATTCGGTTGCATCAATCACACCGCATTAATTTTTCGGCCGACTCGATAAATAAATGACAAACACTAAGAACTGGATTATCGATGACTCGAGCATTTCGAGCATTTGATTTTCTCTGGAAAACGATTTCAGCCGGGTACCTAGCCGTCACGCTACGCTGCCTGTCTCTGATAAATCCTCTTCCTCTACGGCCACGTTGCGAAACCATTTCGCGATTTAACGAAATTTCGTCGAAAGCTACGCTCCGTTTCGCGATGGATCCGTGGCCGACGAGTCGCGTCCAACGACGACACAAGTCCATCCAAGACGATTCATTATAGCTTAAGTGATTACGAGTCCATCTTTTATTGCACGCTGTTCACGGAACAGATTATCCGTCGAAGAATTTTCCACGCGCGTTCTTCTTCGTCCACGAATATTCTGTCCCGCGGAATCGTATCCCTTTGAAATAAATTTAATCGAAGAATCAACCCCTCCTCCGTAACCACCCCCAAAACGAACTTGAAATTCCTCGCACACCCTTGATCCAAGATTGCACGCGTGTTACGAGAATCTTCGCAGCTTTTACTTGCAACAATAAGGCATCCAGCGAATCACTGAGGCAGCAATAGTATCGGTATCACCGAGAAGACACCCGCGATGCTAAACGGAACGTAATAACGTTGTTACGACTGCTCGCGAATTGTCGCACGACCGAGGCACGGTGAAACGTCCGTTCGTGGAAAGGATATGCACGTAGACGAAAGAAGTGTCGTCAGGGGCGTAGCTAGCAGCCAGAACGAGATGTTCGGCGTCAGGAGAGAACGACAAATCGCATCAATCATACTCACTCGCTCGCTCGCATCTCGTCGCGGTGCGTTCTCCCCGAAGTATCCGAGGGTAGTCCCAGGCTCGTTCTATCTTCGCCGAGAAAATTGCTTACTCTCTTACCGCGAAAATAGGAAAACTCCGGAGCAGGAGACGGAATCGTGCGAACGAGTGTGGTGTCCTCCCGAGCAGCGTTTCCAGGAATCGTGAGGAACGGAGGGGGTTCGGGAAGGGGGTAAAAATGTCCCAGACGAAATTACGAGACTAGGGTGTCGCGATGGGCGAGGAAGGGATCGTCTCCTTAAGATCACCGCGTGGAAGGTGTGTTAAAAAATTTACGCGGGATAAAATGAGAAGAGAAATTGGGGCGTTTTTCGTGAAATATATCTCGGAATTTTTGGAACGTTCGAGAGCGAAAGGGTTACGGGGGGTATTCGAAGATGTCGTGTTTGCGTTACTCGATCGTATTGAACATCGATCGATTTCAAGATACTTTATCGGTTTCCTTATTCATCGGCGCGCTTCACACACGCCTTTCAACCGAACCTGCCTATACATTTGTTTGCACAAGTGTATACCGGACGTGATTTACAGGCTGTAAGATAACTTAATCCGTCAGCACACAAATGGACATCCAAGAGCGGCGAGGCGAGCGTTAAGTATGCCTCGCGCTGTCACGTTTCTTCTCGTCGAATCGCGTCAAGTATTGTCTCTGGTCAGCGCAGCCTTGAATCCATCAAACTGATTTGCCGTACTCGCCGAGCGGATGCGTATCGAATGCGAAAAAAACGATCGAAACGAGACGAAAGTAGGCTCGAATCACGATCTACGTCTATCGCGTGACGTTATCGGCTCTCCGCGTTACCTTTTTATCAGATACTTCGACTTGTATCGATGCAATTCTGACGCAATCAACTTTCAAAGTAAATAATGTCGAATGTTCGAAAGATAAAAAAGGAAAAAGAAAAAAGAAGAAGAAAATGAGAAAGAAAAGGGATAAAATATTCAAAGGTTCGATGGGCGCGTTTCGTATTACTGGACTTTGGTATTTTGCCGGAAAATCTGGAAACGCGAGTCGGAGAAAATATTCTTCGAGGGCAAATCGCGTATCTACCTTGACAAAGTAGTTCAATGCGCCGGATACAGGAGCCGAGTGGCTGGCGCCACGAATTTAACACTTGATTGTCCCGTCGAACAATTGTTTCGCCGGTATTATAGCAGCCTCGTGCTCGTGTCTCCTCGAGAGACAGACGGGAGGACGTACGGAATGACTCACTCCTCAATCGAGGAGAAAACATATTAGCGATTGTCTTTACCAATTGGGCGATGTGGGTGATGGCTATCGCCGGGTAGAAAACGATACGTGAAACACGTCTACACGCTGTGAACGATATAATTCGTTGATATTGCTCGTTCGTAAAACAGCCACACGCTGGCATGTGGGCAGACGTGCACACAATCGAAGGTTTACGTACGAAAACACGCAGATGGACCCCTGCGGGTAGGCGAACGATCGCTTTACAGTAAGCGTTCGCTATCTGGAAACAGATACGCCGTAATTGGAAAGAATTGGTCTAATTGAAACCGATTAATCCGGATCTTGATGAATCTTCAGCGCGTGGATCGAAACCGATCGGTGATTTCGCTAGATCACGCCCTCGGATCGATATTTTCCACCGATACCGTTCGAAAACAATCTGATCCCTGTGATAAAACCTAAGACTTTGTTTGCGAGCCCAAGAAGCAAGAAGCGAAGGAAATCATCGTCGCGAATAACGAATAACGACGCGGGTGTGTACGTCTGGCCGATCGGAGCCGCGAAGATTATCGGTCCCGGGTGAAGCAATTTCGAAACCGCTAATTGGTATTTGCCGATCAGCCGATGCATAACGAAGGAATAATGTCAACAACATTACGGGTGCATTAGCGCACTCGATGCTTCCTCGAATCGCCGACCTCTTATCTAATCTTCGAGCACGGGCGGAGTGGAACAGGTGCGATTTAAATCCGCGAAGATCGATGGATCCTCCACGTCGAGCACTCTCGCAGACGAGTCGTGCACGGGCATCAATTATATACTGGAGTCATTGATCACGGCAAGGCCGTTGTTCCGCTCTGCCAGACGAAAACAGTCTGGCCATGCAGCTTTCGCGCGATCGAGCTTTCGCCGTGCTCGATCCTCGCGCGACTACGCGCTTCTGCCGTGTCATCGTCGGATAAATGTCATTTTTCGTCCTGGCCACGTAGCACCCGCCATTCTCGCTGGGTTACCGTGTCGCGTAAACAAAACTCGTTACAGCCGTTTCACCGCGGATTTATCGCCTGTAATAACACTTCAAATCGCCACGACAGACCACGTATCTCCGGCGATTTAACTTTGGTCTCTTTCCGATATTTTGAATTGCACTGATTAGATATCTCGCGTGTGGATCGCGCGATCTAGCGATCGTTGCAATGGTGTAGGAGCGATTACACCGCAATGGGAAGCGTCGAGCCATGAAGTCGTGGGTCGATTGGATTTTCATAGAAGAGAGGGCCGTACGAAGGCACGCCTTGACTCACGTACGATGGGAGCTGGCATATGGTACGGCATGGGGCACAGTTTCCACCGTAAG